CTGAGAATCAATCTCTGAATGCAAATTGCTGTCATCAGATAGAGAACACTTCCAGCCTGACCCTGCCATACTCCATACAACTGGACTCGCTCTCACCAACAAGGGACAGAGACCAGCAGACAACAGAGCTTGTTGGTAAACTTCTGTTTTCCTTTCCTCTTTTTCCTTTGCTAAAGACTCAGGGGGTGTAAAGCAGCATTGCTCTGTCCTGTTAGATATACAACTGTCAGACCTGGGGCATCACAGCCCTGAAATTAAAGGCCTCATTTTGTTCCCCAGTAGGAGCTGTACCAATTCTTTCACTATGGGTAGCTGTAAATTTATGCAGCCTGAGCAAATACCCACAAGTAAGGAGATATTGCTGCTTAAATCTAAATAAACCCCCACAGTAATTGCATATTACAGATTACATTCAGGGATGTCCATCTGTAAAAACTTGTCAGGATATAGGAGGACTTTGGTGATGCTGCTTCAGTTCCTCTGGAGCTGAAAGCATCAAACTTATGGATGGATTTTTCTGGGGATTCTAACTCCCTGTTTTGCTGCAAAGCCATGTGTCAGCTCTTATTTATTTGCTGTTCCAACAGAAATTAAATGGATTTAAAACAATTTATGAAGTAAAAGGGAACTGCTCTCCTTTCTCATCTGTATCCACATTTCTATTCACCAGGAACCCAGAACAATAGTGGCTTAAGTGTGTTCAGTGTCTTCCCAATGGAAGGAGAAATTGAGGCTGGGAAAAGTCAGGATTTTGTTGTCACTTTCAGCCCTGAACATGAGAGTCTGTACTACTCTGACCAGCTCATGGTTATGCTCTTTGGCAAGGTGAGACACCCCAGATCCCTACATGGCTCCAGTCCTTGGGCCAGCCTGGATTCCAGTGGGAGTTCCACACGATGACAGCAGTGGGCAGCAGCTGTGGGCAGGAACAGTGTCTGCATTACCTGCTGTAGGGAGGAGGTGGCAGGTTGGGGCCCACTGACTTTGTTCAGGTTTTAAATACTCAGTTATTAACTGATAACAGCAGTGACTCAGGACTCAGCCCTGTCCTCCCCCAGCTGTCCCCACGGAGCAGGAGGAAGGTGACAGGAGCTGCTGAGCACAGCTCCAAGGGGGTTCCCTGCAGGCAGTGTTTCAGGGGGAGGAGAGAGGAGCTACACCTGCACAGCACAGACTGGCAGGTGCAGGGAGCTACTCCTGCAGCCTCTGTGTGAGGATAAGTTCCCATCTGTGGAGCAGCAGAGGAGCTCAGCCCAGGGGAGGATGCCCAGGCTAGTGGCAATGTGCCACCTGCCAAGAGAGAGACACCAAAGGTAATGCAGAGTGACCACTGGTGCCCAGCAGCAGCTCTGCAAACAGGGCAGACACTGAGCAAGAACTGCTCCTCTCTCCAGACAGTTTTTGGGGTTGCAGTTAAGATTGCAAACTGGAATAAGCTGAATGTGAATGGAGACTGGTCCTGGTTCAGTTTTAGCCAAGTTCAGCGGCAAAGAAGTTTTGCCTCTTAGTGGCTTTGGTGTAGTTTGTCCAGTCCCTTTCTGAGGCACATTGCCCAGGAATGAAGGCTGGTTTGAAACAGGAGTGCCAGAGGGACCAGGGAGGGGGCAGGACTCCTGCACTGGGGCACAGTCCCCTTGGCCTGGATGGTTTCTGGAGGCAGGTGATGCCCTGACTCCTGGTGCTGCTGTGTGCCAGTTTGATTCAGTGACCTGAGCTGAAGGGTTTGCCTCACACAGCTAACAGCCCACAAGATCCAGCTGAAGGGAGCAGCGAGGGATCACCCCATGTTTGTGGAGGGAGGAGAACCACTGGATGTGCCTGTGGAGTCCTTGGCTGTAACATCACCTGTGGCATCGCAGAAGGCAGAGAAAAGAGGTAAAGTGCCACCACTGACAGTTGACTTGTTTTGACCCATCCTGCTGTAATTCATGTTGGTTCCCAACTGATAATGACTCAGTTTGACTCAAAGTTGACTCTATTCCTGTTTGTTTAGAGCCAGAGAAACCAGTGAAGTCCCTTCTCCTCCTCCTGGAGTACGTCGCGGGCGAGGGCCCTGCAGAGCCTGCCAGGGCTGAGCTCAGGGTTGGGGCTATGCAGACAGCTAAGAAGGTAAAGGAAACAAAAGGTGCAGCTTTATGTCAGGTGCTGTATGAAATACTGACAGTGCACCAATGACTGCCAGCTCCTTCTGCCCAAAATCCACTCAGTAAGTTAAAAAATACAGCTTTCAGGGGCTCTGATAAGCTTTACATTGTAAAAGCATCCCTGTTTGAGAAGATTATTTTCCAGGGGCTAATATGAGGAATTAGCTAAGTCAGCAATAGAATTAACGGAGCAGTTTGCTTCTCTCATTCTGAAACACAGCAGTTTGAGCCCAGAACTGAATCACGCTTGTTTTAATATTTAGTGTGATATTCACAGCGAGGGAGGTGAAGTTTCCAGGGGCCGGAGGGAGGTTTCCCGGGGCAGAGGGATGTGTCGGGCAGCGGGCGATGCGGTGGTCACACCCAGGTGTGCTGTGTGTCGCAGCCCGTGCAGTTCCAGCTGGACACGGCGCCGCTGCCGCCCCGGGAGGGGTTCGCGGTGGAGGGACCG